CGGACTCCTCATCGTTGGGGAGGGTGTGCAAGGACGTATCCTCCTCATCCCGATGGAAACCTCGTACGTTGGGGTCTTTGAGAGACTCTCGTAATATGGAAGCGAGGTTGGCGTCTGTCGAAGCCATCTTGCTTGCCGGGTTATGTTGGTTTACGTTGAGAGCATTCAACAGTTTTCATGAGTCTCACAAGAGGAGGACTTGAAGCACAAGAAGGCAAAGGGAACGGTTTATGAACTGTGTCAAGGCTGTTCAACGCCTACTAGGTATGGGAGGATTAGTCAACCGAACGCAGGCTTCCGCCTGACCCGCGTCGCCGCGTCGCGAGAGGGAGGAACACACGGGCAGAGTGTCCAAGAGGGGGATCTTAGCGTGGGCAAAAAAAGGGCGAATTCTATTCTGGTGGAACGTCCTGTCGCAGTTGATGACGTGCACCAATTGCAGTTGGGGGAAATCTGGAACTGGCGGAGCGGAGGACGCGGGCGGCGGCTCAGGCACGAGACAAAGACCGAGTGGACATTAGGCTTTGTTTTGAGTACTTTTATTCATCTCGAAGGTCTCTTTCAGGTTCCCCTGCGTCAGGCACTGCATCAAGCAGCATACTAGTTCTTGGTTATAGTCAAGTGATACCATCTTGTCGGACTCAAGTCGCTTCAAGCTGGAGAACACCTCGAAGAGGTAAGCGAACAGAACAAAAGAGCTTCAACTCGCCCCTCGGTGACTTTTGCAGCTGAGCAATGTGAGGCGGGCCAACTTCAGCCCCGAGCGGCTCAGCCGTCTGAACTTTCCGAGCGACATGTCCGCCGCTAGACACCCACCTGGATCTTCAAACTCCGCATACTTCATCAGCATTGTCTTAGTTGCTGATTTCGATGTTGTTTTCATCCATTTATCTCAATCAACATGAGCACAAAAAAGGAACACTCCCAAACCTTCGTCGCTAGGTTCAGGGGCTCTTCTAAGGCGGTGTCGCAACAGGCCGTTTGTCCCGGTTCACTGGTTAGACTTCCCGCTGACCGCCTCAACCGTGTGGATCTGTACCTGACATGGGCCTGAGAACATGTGGCACCGCATAACGGGCTCTCTGGGCGTGACCTGCCAGCGAAACGCTGCATCTGGGGACCTGCCGCAGCACGATAGCAAGGGATCTACCCGTAGGATCTTTTGATTATCAGGAACCCGCAAGCTTGCCACAGGTGGCCGGACTTGACGCGCAGACTTGTCGATTGATCTGATTCTGCGTTGCTGTAAACGACCTTCTCTTTCTCACGTCAGCTTGGGAGCCGCTAGCAGGATGAAGCTTTGGTGGCTCATTCCAACAAATTCCGCGCAGCCACAGCAACTTGAGTGGCTGAACACACTTGAGGGCTTAGGTTGGCGCGGGGTCAATCAATGGGCCCTGAACTCAACCGAATGAGTCAGCATGACTCTCCCGATCTGCCAGTGCAGTTCAAGAGTCCTTCGGTCAGTACACGCAAAGCCAGCCCAGATCCATGCCCATTTCAACTCTTTTGACTTCGGGACCAGGACATCTCGACGGTGTCTCGGTCTCGTGTCAACATTACATGTGGTATCTAGAAGACGGCCGAAGCCGCGGAGGTCACCGCACCTTACCGGAGACATGTTCCGGTTCAGTTTCCCGGCCGTCTTCCGAACTTGATCCATTTCAGCCGATCGCGGGTGAATCGACTCGTCCTGATTGAGCATTAAGAAACGCTTCTATTGGCGAAAACTTGTGTAGCTGATTCTTAGTCTGCAAGTCGTCATTGCTCGTTGCTATCCGCCATCCCCTCACACGGCAGCTCACAAAATGCGGAGGGATTCTGGAGACCCCATCAGTATGCCTTTGCCGTTCCGAGTTCCGACCTCCGTTGGGACCCCACTTCAACTTAACCGCGGGGCATCATCGCGGGGCAATAAATGAACCCCCAGGCCGTGATGAGTTGATGTCAATGAGAAAGCCGAGACGAGAATTATTGGTTGAAGGCGAGAATATCACTCAAAATGGCAGACAAGACAGATATTGAGGCTATTCTCAAGACATTAACTCTTGAAGAAAAGGTAACGTTCCTTGTAACCTCTGTACCGTCATATCACTGACCCCTCACTCTTAGATCCGCCTTCTCGCAGGCCGCAACTTTGTCGAAACTGGCGATGTCCCCGATAAAGGGGTGCCTGCAATCAAGGTATTCATACCCCCAACGGCTCCGTATACCAAAGGCTCAGAACTGACCATATTTTCACAGACAACAGATGGCCCCAACGGCACCCGCGGCGCTGCGATAGACGGCAGCACAAAAGCAGCATGTTTCCCGGCTGCCTGTAGCATAGCGGCGACCTTTGATCGACGCATAGCCCGCTCCGTCGGCGCGGCTCTCGCCCAGGAATCCAAAGCAAAGGGAGCCCGCTGTCTCCTCGCGCCCACAGTATGCATCCATCGCCACCCGCTTGGAGGGCGCAACTTCGAGAGCTACAGCGAGGACCCCTTCCTTGCAGGCAAGCTCGCCTCGGAGATGATTCAGGGGTGCCAAAGTCTGGGCGTCAGCGCGACGATTAAGCATTTCGTCGCCAATGAGCAAGAGACTGCGAGGACAACGGTGGACGAGACAATTAGTGAGCGGGCGTTGAGAGAGATCTACCTCAAGCCGTTTGAGATTGCGGTCAAAGAGGCAAAGCCTTGGGCCATCATGTCTGCTTACAACCTCATCAATGGAAAGCACTGCGATTCGAATGAGTGGTTGCTGAAGGAGGTCCTAAGAGGGGAGTGGGGATGGAAGGGTCTGGTTATGAGCGATTGGGGCGGAACCAACTCCGTGGCGGAAGGAATCAAGGCCGGCATGGATATTGAGATGCCCGGGCCTCCGAGAATACGCAAACCCGCAGCCGTTCTCAATGCCGTGAAGAGCGGCGAGGTAACTGAGGCTGATATCGACGAGCGCGTACGTACGATACTCGAGTGGACGGAACAGCTCAACGGCTTCAAAGACCCGACCATCACCGTGGAAAAGGCAATCGATCGCCCCGAACACCGTGCCTTGATTCGGGATGCGGGCGCGCGAGGCATCGTTGTCCTCAAGAACGACAACAATATCCTCCCACTCACGAAGGAAAAGGTGAAAGGCAAGAAGATTGCCCTCATCGGCTACGCCAAAGACGGTCTCGCCCACGGCGGCGGCAGCGCAAGCGTGAACGCACACTACAGACTCCCGCCCTGGGACGCCCTCCATGAGGCCCTGGGCTCCGACGTGGAGTTCACCTACGCAAAAGGTGCTCACAAAGAGCGTCTTCTCCCGCCCATCACCCACGACGGAAGGGTCGGCACCATCGTCGGTCTGGACGGGAAACCTGGCTTCAGCCGGGTGTTCTACGACTTTGGCAAGGAGGATGCCCAGCCTGTTTCGGTCCTCAATAGCTATCCAAACTCGGCTTACTCCCCGCTAGGCTCCCAGGAGTCAATGTGGAAGACACTCGACATCGTTGGCGACTTCACGCCTTCCGAAACGGGTTCGCACTACATCGCCTGCTCAGGCATAGGCCCGACTCAGGTGTTTGTAGATGACGAGGTCGTCTTTGAGCAAAAAGGAAATTGCGCAGATCCTATGGGCGCTTTATTCCAAGCCGCCAACGAGCCGCAAACAAAACATGCTTTTACAGCAGGCAAAACCTACCGCCTCCGCATCCACAGCAAACCGCCTACCAAGATCGGTCTTGAGATCCTGGAAGGCCGCACAGGTGTGCGAATGGGCTTCGGGCTGGAATCAGACCGAGACGCGGACCTTCAGGGCGAAGCTGCGCGGGTGGCTGCCGAAGCGGACCTTGCTATCGTATTCACCGGACATGATCCGCAGTGGGAGACGGAAGGCCGCGATCAGGAATCGTTCCACCTGCCCTACGACCAGGATGGGCTTATTGATGTCGTCGCGAAGGCTAGCGGCGGCAAGACGATCGTAGTCAACTCTACCGGCGTGGCGGTCGCGATGCCCTGGCTTGGCAAGGTGTCTGCTCTGGCTCAGTCGTGGTTCCCAGGCCAGGAGTGCGGCAATGCCATTGCTGATGTGCTCACCGGTGCCGTAAACCCTGAGGGTAAACTGCCTGTCAGTTTTCCCGCTCGCGTTGAGGATGCTCCCGCACATGGGAACTTCCCTGGGAAGAGAGGTGATGATGGAGTGCTCAGGGTCGAGTATGCCGAGGGCGTATTTGTTGGATACAGGCACTACGATCGTGTGGCAAAGGAGGTACTGAACTTCCCCTTTGGATACGGTCTTTCGTACACAACCTTCGAGTACACAGGCTTTCAAGTGACGAAGAATAACTCTGCTGGAAGCGAGTTTGACGTCTCGGTGGAGGTGTCCAACACGGGTCCCGTCGCCGGCGGCACTGTAGTCCAGGTGTACGCCGGGAAGACGGAGAGGTCGGCGGACACGCCGGTAAAAGTACTCACTGCGTTTGACAAGGTTCGGCTACAACCGGGAGAGAAGGCTACGGTCAGGTTGGCGATTTCGGCAAAGGATTTTGCTTCATTTGATGAGTCGACGAGAGAGTGGGTCCTCGAGGCTGGAGAGTACAGCTTCTACCTTGGCGAGTCTGCGGCAGAGACTTTGCAGACTGTATCACTGAATCTGGAGAGAATCATCTACCACAGATAGTGCAGAAGGGGGGTCTAGTGAGTCATTCAATGTAGATGTAAACTTGGAAGTTGTAAATCCAGAACGATCAACATAACGCTGTATTTCAGGGGGTGAATCAAACTGAGCAGACATGACCATGGGCTTGCACATACTAATTGTGGAATGAATTTTCGGACTTCATCAAATGGCATCTCGGCTTGTTCTCTCCGCCTTACGAATGTGCAAGGATCTCGTGATTTGATGCCTCCAACCTTTCCTGTTTCTGAGCATCTTTTTAGCATAACCTCTTGACAGGCACTTCATACTTTACCTGCTACGATTCGCCCAACTCTTGCGACCATTGAAAGATCCGTCACCGATACGAGTTATCCGCTTCACATATTGGTCCATGCGGTGCGCCGCAACATTCGCCCAGGCCTGGTGTTCGAGATCGTCATGGCTAAGCTGGCATGCCATGATTCTCTCTTCTTCTTCTTCATCCTCTTGCTCGTCCTCGTCTCCGTCCTCGTCTCCGTCCCCGTCCTCGTCTCCGTCCTCGTCTCCGTCCCCTTCCTCGTCTCCGTCCCCGTCCTCGTCTCCGTCTCCGTCCCCGTCCTCGTCTCCGTCCTCGTCTCCGTCCCCTTCCTCGTCTCCGTCCCCGTCCTCGTCTCCGTCCTTGTCCCCGTCCCCGTCCTCGTCTCCGTCCTCGTCTCCGTCCTCGTCCCCGTCCCCGTCCTCATCAACCTCCTGTTCGTTTTCGAATAGAACACTAGTTGACCGAGGCTATTTAAACGTAGCTTGGGTGGCTTAAAGTCTTGGAATTCGCTCGCCGGCGGGCACTTGCCTCCTCCGACACGGTACCATATACGCGTAAGCTCTGTCGTGTACGCTGCATCCATGCGTGGAATCGGGTCGCCATCATTGACGAAGGCGAGTATATTCCCTTGAAGGAAGTTGCTATCGGTATAGAGTTTGGTGAGGCGGGCGTCAATGTCGGTGTTGAACAACAGAGGACAACCAAAGTGTACGGAAGACAGCGTCGGCTTCTTCGAGGGCAGATCTGTGTCGTGTTGTCAGCCTGATGCTCTGTTCTGACACTTTAGGTGTAACCAAAACACGATCTGTTCATGTTGGAGTCCTTACCAAGAACTTGGCTTGTAAGAAGATAGCAAAACAGAAGGCATGCAACGGCTCCGCCAGCAGAATAACCTGTGAAAACAACTTCTATCTCCTGATCTTCCGTTTGACTCTCGTTTAGGGCAGCTTTTATCTGATTTACCAGTCCTGGAGCAACAGTTCTGGCACATTGGGCGAACCCGCGATGCACTTTCAACGTTGGTTTCAAACGTGACTCGGGGAGTTTCTAAATAACCGAAGTTAGTCTCAAAACTCGATCCCGGACCATAAACCAGGAGCTGAATCTTTCGGTTGTTTGGTTGAGGTCATGATTAGCTGTACTCACCACCAAGTCAGAACATTCAGCCAGGTCGCTATTCAGGTTGACCAGCCAGTCGACAGAACTTGCACTCCCTCTAACAGCAACGACTAGTGCCTTTCGCTGAGATGACGGATCAGTCGGCAAGATCTCAAAAAGAGCGGCGGCCTTCCCTGAGCCGTCTCTGGTGGGCTCTATCCAGTGTCTGTCTTTAACGGCATAGTCCAGGAGTTGGGGGACAACATGGCCCGGATCCTTCTTGTAGACCGCTTTGGAGCAGAGAGCAGCAATTTGAATGATACGGGCAGCGTCCTCTGTGCTGGTGTGGTGTAGATCGTCGTCAGAACATAGAAACACCAATATTACCTCTCAAGAATTGAGGCGCCGCTTCTGGGTAAGTCAACATACCCACTTCCTGGCACCCCCCTGTTTCTGGCACCACAAAAACGATGGGATCACAACCCAACCTCCTCATTACTATTAACTATTGATCCTCAACCACACCCACTACAATACAGCTGCCAGCCTCACTAGGGCATTCAGAGTCGCTGGATTCAGCCGTGATAACCTCCTTTTCACCCGCTTCGATTTGAGCCCGATGGATATCCCTGATGTTCGCGAACTTCGTATTGGGATCG